CTACTACTACTACTATTACTACTACTACGACTACGACAACGACTACGACTACGACTACGACTACGACTACTACTACTACTACTACTACTACTACTACTACTACTACTACTACTACCCCTACTACTACTACCCCTACTCCTTCTCCGACTCCTACTCCTACTCCTACTCCTACTCCCTCCCTCCTTCCCTCCCTCCCGCCTGCCCGCCCTCCCTCCCTCCCTCCTACCCTCTCCCCCTCGTCCTCCTCGGCCGCCGCCTCTGCAGCCTCCTGCCGCAGCCGACACACCACCCCCCGGCCTTTTTCTGAGGGGCCCCTCTGCGAGCGCGCGCGCGCGGGCGCCGCGCTGGGCCGTCACGCTGCTCCTGGCCCGCCGGCGCAGGGGACGCGGCCCTTCGAGCCCATGCCCCCGCGGGCCTCCAGCTGCTCTCTTAGCTTTGAAACGGTCTGCCTCGCGATACCCTGCAGCACCTTTCGGGGCGGACGGCTTGGGGGGCCTGAGCTCCAGGCGCCGCCACGTTTTCATACTGGGCTTTTGCGCTGCGCGGGGGTTCGTGTCCCGGGACCATCACAGATCGACCCGGCCAGACAACTGCCGCAGAAATGCGGGGCCCAGGGATCGGATCATGATACTTCGCGATGTTGATGTTTTGGTCTGCAACGTCCGATCTCAGGGGATGGCAAGGTGGAGGTCGGCGAATCAGCTCACGAAACCAGCTTCCCCGGCGCCTCCCGGCGCCGGAGGCGGCCACACATCGAGGGATGTCCCCAGCGGCGCCGAAACCAGCTGCACACAGCAGGTTTCGTACCCCTTGATTCCGACCCGAGAGAAGGAGGAGGAGGAGGAGGAGGACGACGAGGAGGAGCACGACGACGACGACGACGAGGAGGAGGAGAAGGAGGGGAGGACGAGGAGGAGGAGGTGGAAAAGAAGGAGGGGGAGGAGGAAGAAGAGAAGGGATGATGATAATAATAATAAGAAGAATATTAATAACAATAATAATACTAATAATAATAATAATGATGATAATAATAATAATAACAATAATAATAATAATAATAATAATGATGATGATGATGCTGATGATGATGATGATGATGATGATGATGATGATGGAGATGGTGATGGTGATTGTGACGGCGATGGTGATGGTGAGGATGAGGATGCTGAGGATGATGATGATGGTGATGATGATGATTGTGATGATGATGCTGGTGACGATGATGATGATGATGATGATGATGATGATGGTGATGATAAGGAGGAGGAGGATGTTGATGATCATAATGATGGTGATGATGATGGGGATGATGATGATGATGATGATGATGATGATGATGATGATGATGATGATGATGATGACCATGATGATGACCATGACGATGACCATGATGATGATGTTGCTGATGATGCTGATGGTGATGATGATGTTGAAGATGTTGATGATGATGATGATGATGATGGTGGTCATGAGGATGATGATGATGATGATGATGATGATGATGATGATGGTGATAATCATCATCATCATCATCATCATCATCATCATCATCATCATCATCATCATGATCAAGATCATGATCAAGATGATGATCATGATGAGGAGGAGGAAGAAGAAGAAGAGGAGGAGGAGGAGCAGGAGGAGGGGGAGGGAGGAGGAGGAGGATTTCGTCCTCCCCCTGTCCTTCTCGCTATCCGCCCCGCTTTCCGTCTGGCCCGAACCTTCTCTGGCTGCTCCCGGAGCTTGGACTGGCGCTTGAGTATGTGGGTGCCCACAGCGCTCGCGAGCGCCTCGTCCTTGCGGCGCACGTGCTCCGCCCTGTTGGGGGTGCTATAGAAGTTCCGCATGATCGTGATCGAGGTGTCCTGGAGGCCTCCCAATGGGGTCCGAGCAGATGGGGTCGGAGGATCAGGCCGCATCGCCAATGCATCGGCGACGCATCGGCGACGTCGGCGCTGCATCGGCGAGGTCGGCGCGGAGAAAATCGGGCTCCACGTCGAGCCGCATCGCCGATTCATCGGCGGCGCGGCGCGCATCTGCTCGAGCCCCCGCTGGGAGGCCCAGGTGTCCAGGCCCACGGTATAGTGCCACCAGCCCTGCGGCGCGAAGAGGGTCTCGCCCTCCTCCGGGCGGCACAGGTAGAGGGACCAGCTCAGGGTGGGCAGCCTCGACCCGGAATCCGCGATGGGCCCCCGATAGCGGATCCGCACGGCCCTGGGCGGGGCGAGGCCCACGGGCCCCCATCGGCGCTCAGTGGGCGGTCAGGGGGTCGATGCCCCCCCCCCCTGAGCCTATCCCCCCGAACGTTGCCCCTGACTCCTCCACCACGCCCACATAGGGCGTGGCGTTCCCGTAGTCGGGCCACTTGCTCAGCACGTCGACGTCAAGCGGGTCGATCCAAGAGCCGTTCGGGAGGCCCTCGTCGCCATCGAAGGCGTGCAGGTGAGGGCCGTCCGACGGAGGGAAGCACACGAACAGCTTGCGGCCGCGGACCTGCGAGAGCCACACATGCGCCCCGCCGTTGTCGAAGTGAAGCCGCGTGAGCGCCCCCTTGGGTGAAATGAAAAGCTTCGTCAGCTCCCAGTACTCGTCGTCGATCAGCTTTCTGCGATATTCTTCAGAAGGCTGGCTGTAACCTTTGGTGACGGCGGAGATGAACGCCTCCCTCAGCTCTTCGTTATCCGCGATCAGCTGCCCAGAGACATCGTCCACGAAGGTGGGATTGACTACGTACTCCCGCAACCAGGGCAACCGGCTAAAGGCTGGCCAGCCATTGAGGTAGAGGCGCGGGCACTGCTCTGCGTTGCACTCTTTGCAGTCTGGGTCAGCGGCATCGACAGCCTTGACGTAGGCGATGTACTCTGAAAGGGATGTCTCCCAGGTAGGGCAGTCCCACTGCGACTCCTGCGTCGTGTAGACTGGGCCCTGCCACTTCACCTGAGCACCAGTCGAGGCCACATTTCTCTGTTTGATCTGCTCGCTAATTTCTCGCATGGCACTCGACGCTGACGCGCCATACGAGAGACTGCACGAGACACCGTTCCAAGTGTGCCTGAGCATCAAGAACTGAGTACTCACAGCAAGGAGCTACGATAAGAGAGAGCATGGGAGTGGTCAGAACTACCTTAGGACCCCCATGAGAGATTAGCTAGATGCTGCCCTCGGCGCTCCTCAACCCTGGCAGCCCTCCAGCAGCCCTCTGAAGGTGGCGGTCCAAGGCGCTTCCTCTCCCAACTCCCTTCTTCCCCTTCGCGAAGGGGTGAACCACCGCTTCTTGTTCATAAGCGATGCCCCCCCGATTTGGCCGGCAAAGATGCGCCCAGGATCGATGCCGACCCTCCCCCACCCGCGCAATCCCGATGAAAAACAAGACTACAACATTGACTTTGCAGCAACAGGTTGCTCATGTTCGGGCGGCCAGCGGTCACGTGTTGTTATGTATATAGATGTGTCCCCACCCTTCTTGGATGTGCTCTCGCTTGGGATAGAAAATGTGGTCGCGTCTCCTCCGTCCCGCCTCGCTCCTTCCTCTCTCTCTCTCTCTCTCTCGCTATTTCTCTCCCTCTCTCTCTTTCTCTCTCCTCTTGTCTCGTACGTCTCTCGTATTTGCATCCGACCTCGCGGTCCCTGAGGGGCTGTGAACTGCGAAACTGTAGCAAGGGCTGCTGGGGGGTCCCGCGGAGTAACGTCTTACGCAAATCAGAGCGGGACCTCGCCGTCGTTGGGGGGCTGCGAACTGCAAAACTCTCGCCACTTTCGAGGGCTGCTGGAGAGTCCAGCGGAATGACGTCTCACGCAGATCAGAGCGGGACAACGCTGTCGCCCGGGAGCTGCGAACTGCGAAACTCTCGCCACTTTCGAGGGCTGCCTGGAGGTCGCGCGGGGTGACGTCTTACGCAGATCAGAGCGGGATCTTGCCGTCGCTGGGGGGGCTGCGAACTGCGAAACTGTCGCCACTTTCGAAGGCTGTCGGGGGTCCATCGGAGTGACGTCTTACGCAGATCAGAGCGGGACCTCGCCGTCGCTGGGTGGCTCCGCACTACTGTCGCCGCTTTCGAGGGCTGCTGGGAAGTCCAGCGGAGTAACGTCTTACGCGGATCAGAACGGGACCTCGCGATCGCTTGGGGGGCTGCGAACTGCGAAACTCTCGCCACTTTCGAGGGCTGCTGGGGAGTCGAGCGGAGTGACGTCTTACGCAGATCAGAGCGGGACCTCGCCGTCGATGGGGGGCTGCGAATTGCGAAACTCTCGCCACTTTCGAAGACTGCTAGGGGGTCCAGCGGAGTGACGTCTTACGCAGATCACAGCGGGACCTCGCCATCCCTGGGGGGCTGCGAACTGCGAAGCTGTCGCCACTTTCGAAGGCTACTGGAGGTCCAGAGTGACGTCTTACGCAGATCAGAGCCGGACGTTGTCCCAGGGACCAAAGTAATCACCTCCATCAAGCCCTTGTCCATCGATCGGTGTCCATCGGTCGGTGTCCACCGGAACTCTACATGATTCTAAGAACCCCAGTCGGGTGGGGAAAGCACTCATTTCTCCTCCTCCTCCTCCTCCTCCTCCTCCTCCTCCTCTTCCTTCTCCTCCTCCTCCTCCTCCTCCTCCTCCTCCTCCTCCTCCTCCTCCTCCTCCTCCTGACCTCCAGAAGTTCAAGCCCACCTAAAGCAGCCACCAGACGCCTCGGGTGACTGTTTTGGGGCGGGTACCTTTTTCAGGCGACCCGCGGGGGGGACGGAAAAGAAGAAGCGGAAAAGGGAGACCTTCTCACCTCCCCTTCCACGGCCGCGGCCAGCCAGGCGAGGGAAGGACGGGAGAGGGGGGCGGGGCGCTGTCAGGGAGCGACGCGGGTGACAGGCGTGCAACACCAAACCGTGGTGACCGCGATATCATGCATCGACATCTGGATGTCTAGACATCGACATACAACCCGACATCTGCATACAGAGGGCTACATGGTGAGCGTCGCTGGGCCACGATACCGAGAACGAGACTGCCCTTCGCGACATCGAGATATCGAGTCCTCACCCGACCCCGCCCCCTGATATCGAGACATCGAGATATCGAGTTCCCGCCCAGCCCCACCTCCCGATATCGAGATATCGAGATATCGAGTCCTCCCACCAGGCTCCGCCCCCGAGATCCACACAGCAGAACATCGAGTCCCCGCCTGGCCCCGCCTCCCGATATCGAGATATCGAAAGATCGAGTCCACGCCCGGCCCCACCCCGAATATCGAGACATCGGAATATCGAGTCCCCGCCCCACCCCAGCCCCGATATCGAGACATCGAGAGGTCGAGATCTCGAGCCTCCGCCCGGCCCCGCCTCCCGATATCGAGACATCGAGACATCGAGTCTCCGCCCAGTCCCGCCACCGACATCGAGCTATCAGGATGTCGAGCCCTCCCGACCCCCACTGGGACGCCTTGTGGCCACACATCTTTGTGCAATTCGAGCGACCCTCCCAGGGTTCGCGCGGGGCTCGCACCCAGTTTGCTTCAAGGGAAAATATTGGGCCTCAGACTGGGCGCCTGCCGCCCGAACAACAACAACAACAACAACAACAACAACAACAACAACAACAACAACAACCAACAACAACAACAACAACAACAACAACAACCACAACAACAACAACAACAACAACAACAACAACAACAACAAGAAGCACCACCACAACAACAACAACAACAACAACAACAACAACAACAACAACAATTACTAGCACGTGGGGACACTCCGTTCTCACCAGTGCCAGGGTTTTCATAGGAGGCGGGCAATACCCCCACTTTGTGGGGGGGCCGGTTCAAGCTCTACCAAATTTCCAAACGACTCTTCGCCACCACCCACACCCAGCTTCCCGCCCTATGACGTTCGGACACTTCACTTCGTGGCCTGCGGACGACCGTGGCTACTACACTGGCGCATGGGTGCAGTGACTTGTTGTGGTAACATTTTCTGGACGCTAGCTTAGTATACGACTTTTCCCCCAGTTCCAACACTGGACAAAAGAGCTTGCGAAAGTAGCTCGCGCGAGCTCATGTAACATAAATGTTGAAAAACCATTGGTTTTTTTGGATTCGGACAGCGCGCGCGGGTAGAAATTTTGAAAATCGTACAGATGTTTTTCGAGGACCTACGGTGCGATTCGTATGATTTTATGTTGCGCGGTGCTAAAATTCCTAAGAAACCCAATGGTTTTTGAAGATTTCGGCGTGCGCGCGCGAAGAAAAAACGAATGTGTCCCGCATGGTATTATTTGACAGGGATGATGGCCCTGGCAGGTGCGCAACCGTTGTCGCAGAAGTTCGAAAAAGTTGCTCGCAAAAGCCCGTTTGACAGAAATGTTTAAAAAGTGTTGGGTTTCCTACGAATCCGCAAGAGCGCGCGGGATGAGATTTTGACATTTTTTTGTTGAAAAACCATTGGTTTTTTGATGTTTTTATGTTAAAATCGCTCCGAACACTAAGCTTTTGGAAGGATTTCGTCTTGCGCGCGCGAATGTCCACTTTACCTTATTTTTTGCAAGGGATTCTTGAAATTTGATTATATTAGAACAAGAAATGTCATTTTATAGTGTTTTTTGCAAGGGAAAACGGATTACAACAAAACAACCGGATCTGGATCACATCGTTTTACCTGAGCTTCCTCACGAAAATGATGAAAATGTAGCTGCGGCCTAGGCGGCGCAGGGGGGGCGCGCACCAGGGGGCCCAACAATAATTATTCTTTAGAATAAATAATGTTCAACAACAACAACAACAACCACAACCACAGCAACAGCAACAGCAACAGCAACAGCAATAGCAACAGCCACAACAACAACTACAACAACCGCAACAACAACAACAACAACAACCATAACAACAACAGCAGCAGCAACAACAACAACCACAACCACAACCACAACCACAACAACAGCAACAACATCCAACAACAACAACAACAACAACAACAACAACAGCAAAACAATAACAGCCACCACCACCACCAGCAACAACAACAACAATAATCACAACAGCAGCAGCAGCAGCAACAACAACAGCAACAACAACAACAACAACAACAACAACAACAACAACAGCAGCAGCAGCAGCAGCAGCAGCAACAACAACAACAACAACAGCAGCAGCAGCAACAACAACGGCTCCCGCCGGATACTTCCTCACAATGTTTTGAAGAATCGCGCTCACGCTCGAGACTTCCATGCTATTTCTACAGGAATCGCGCTCTCGCCTTCACCTTCCTTCTAATGCATGCACGATTCGCTCTTTCGGCGCTCTGGAATCGCGCTCTCGCTCGGGACCTCCTTGTAATTAACTCGGGAACCGTGCTCTTGCCTAAGACATCCTGGACATCCCCTCTTGCAAAGTCCTTTTGCTAATCCTTCTCGTCCTCCATTTCTCCTTCCCTCTTGCCCCCTTCCCTCCTCCGTCCCTTCCCCCACTCCCTTCCTCCTCTCCCTTCCTTTCCCACTATGTATGGTTTTGCTGTTATGGGGCTGCGCCAAGATTACACGTGACAGGGAATGAAGATATCCCCCAAAGGGGATACGATCAAAGACCGAGAGGGCGTGAATCGAGGGCTTGGGAGATGCATGCAGGTTGACACGAGAACACATCAGCGCGAACAATATTGAAATGATCGTTGCTATTGTCGCAGTCCTCGCCCGCGACCCACCCGCGACCCACCCGCGACCCACCCCGCGACCCACCCGCGACGACCCACCCCAGCTACCCCGCGACCCACCCGCGACCCGCCCGCGACCCACCCCGCGACCAGCCCTGCGCCCGCCCCCTCACGCTTTTCCGCAACCGCGGGGCGCTGCGTATGCGACGCGACGCCAGGATCCGTAAACATGACGCCGCACAACGTAACAGCGCCCTCTGTCAGGAGATAGCCATGAGCATGTAACACTGGCCCCCGTCCATTGGACCAGAAGACGCGTCAGAAGCTACTCTCCGGCGCCGCTGGTGCCGCAACCATCTGAGGGACGCCGGCCACTCCGAGTGGCCGAGCCGCAGTACCCTCTGCGCCGGCGGCGCAGGGGGGCACAGGGAG